TACAATAAAGTATTTGCTCTAGTTGCAAGAATTAAAACTATTAGGCTAGTAATTGTTATTGCTAGTTCTAGATGTTGGTCTTTATTTCAATTAGATATGAAATATATGTTTTCATTTGAGGAAGAGGTGTATGTGTTGCAACCACCAAGATTTGAAGTGAAGGGAAGAGAATATGTTGTATACAAGTTAAGAAAAGCATTGTATGACTTAAAACAAGCCTTTTAGGCTAGGAACAAAAGAATACAGGCTTTCTTGCACAACATGGGTTCTCAAAATGTTCAATGGCATTTGGGATATATGTGAAGATGAAGAATGGTGCTAATTTAATTTTTGTATGTTTGTATGTGGATGACCTTCTTGTTAAAGGCAATAATAGCTTTGAAATTGAGAAATTCAAAGGGAAAATAAATTAAAAAATTATGATGACTAACTTGAGAATTCTCAATTACTTCCTTGGTTTAGAGGTATAGTAGTAGGGGTATTTTTCTACATCAGAAAAAATATATCTAGGAGGTGTTGAAGAGGTTTCAGATCTATAATTGCAATGAAGTAGCAATCCTAGTTGAGACAAATGTGAAGTTTTTAAAAGGAGAAACAAAGAAGTGTGTTGATGACACATTATACAAGTAGATTGTAGGATCACTAGGATTTTTGTGTAATAGGAGGTCTGCCATCAATTTTGTAGTTGGGATGGTCAGTAGGTTCATGAGTGATCCAAGAGTCTCACACATGGTTGCTGGCAAATGTATTCTAAGGTACTTGGAGGGAACAAGGGAGTTTGGTATGCTATTTCCTAAGGGAAAGGAGTAATGTGTAGCAAAAATTGAAGCATTTTTATATTCTGGCTAATATGGAGACAAGGTGGATAGAAAAAAGTACTTCTAATTACTTGTTACATTTTTTGAATGCCACAATATCTTGGTGTTCAAAGAAGCAAAGTGTGGTTATTTTATCTTCTTGTGAGGTAGAGCACATAGCTTCTTCACAAACAGTGTGTCAAATTTTATGGTTGGAATCACTATTTGAAGAGTTGAAGATTGAATACAAGGAGCCAGTACAATTGTTTGTTGGCAACAAGTCATCTATAAGCTTGGCCAAGAATCCAATTACACATGGAAGAAACAAGTATATAAATACTAAGTTTCATTTCTTGAGAGACCAAAGCAAAGGGAAGCTGGAGTTGGTCTATTTATGTATTGAGTTTAGGTTGTAGATGTTTTTACTAAACCATTAAAGGCAGATAGATTCAATGAGTTAAGAAAGATGTTAAGAGTTGTGTTCTTGTAATTCAAATGTATGGTCTGCATGTATCATTTGTATGTTTAGTTTGTACATATAGTTCGATGGTATAATTTATAGATATTATCTATATATCTTATTTTGTCAGTGTTATACATTTATATCATTTATTAATGTACTCTATAAATACATATTTGTATTACTAGTCTAGTGAGAAGGATGAGTAGTCATGTAATACACATTTTTCTCTATTCAATTTTCACTATCTATTATTTGTTACAAGTGTGTGCATTTTTTTGCGTGTTATCTACAACAATCTTTATAAGTATCCCAATATCTTTAAATGAATGTGAAATTTAACATCATTTGATCTCGAACTCTTATTTTCCTTATAACTCCACACCACCACATCCTTGATCTCTTGAAGAGAAAAAGGAGTTGTGAAGAACCATTAGAGCTGATATAACTGTTTAAATTGAATCTAATTTATTATCAACATGAGATAATCCATTTTGTATAAAGTCTTAGATATCCCTCTTCAATATCCTTACAATTTATTTTTTAACCTTTTCTTCTTTATATCTCCCCATTTCATTAATTTTAATTGGCTATCTATTTTTTTTACGTATAACTTTTTATTTTATTTTATTTTATTTTGGTCACATCTCAATTTTTTTAAAATATATCTCAACTTTTCTTGTAATCTTAGATTATAACCATGCTCGTTGTCTATAACTATTTAATTATATCCCTGCTTGCAATATTACTTTAACCATATGTCCAGATCTATACATTATGAACGGATAAAACCTTCACCAAGAAGAGGCAAAACACAGATACCCCCACCACCACTTAATTTCCCATTTTTTTTTTTATAATTTTTTTTAATTTTGATGGAAAAGAGGAAGTTAAGATCAAGGGATCGGAGACAAGAGAATCACAACTAGAGATATATGCTCTATTATTTAAGCCAGAGATCATAAAGTTTCATACTTTCAGGCTTCATCTATTTATTTGCATTCTTCTCCATACGATTATTGGCTACTACATTTTTTTATTCGCTTTATTCTTTCTAGTTTATCGTCTTCAAAATCTTGGTTGAGTTTTTCCATCACCAAATATTGAATTGAAATTACATGTCCTCTTATTATCTGTCATCTTTTCCCTTTTTTTCTTAATTAAAAATAACATTGTTAGAAAGATTTCTCTCTTTCAAATAGTAACGTTCTTTCTCTTAATTATTAATTTTTTAACCGAAGTATTACATTTTAAATGAGGAAATAAGAAATGAGACATGTAAAGGGTGCATGCGATTTGATTCATATTATTACCCTATTTTTAATTAGTATATTAACCGAACTACTTATTTAGGATGTATTTTCACGATGATAAAATAAATAATATCAAAGAATTTAGAGTGAGTTACAACTACAAAGTGAAAAAGCTAAAAAAAACAAAAAAGATCTGTGTTTTAACTCAAAATTTAAACAGATGATAAGCGATAAAATGTATAGATAAAATATTATTATTTTTTAATTCTTTAACTAATAGTAATAATAATTAGAAGTTACAGAATTTTGTATATAACAGCGTAAACTTTTATATTGTTATTTATATAATATAAATATATTATTCAACTATAAGGGGAAAAATTAGGTCACGAAATAAATGATTTTATCCTCCTTTAGCACAAAATGATATCTATCCACATGTTTGAAATCTGGCTTTTGACAAAAACGAAAGAGAAGCATATTCTAGGGGACAGACACACTACACATGTCTGTTTGGACCACTCACATCACATCGTCTAGGTTGCGGCCGAACAACAAATGGATCCACCCACATGTGGAGCAATGTTCTTCAAATTTTCAATTCAATTATGATATTGGTAGATAGATACATGGTGATGGTGGTATTATGGAGCACATAGACCCATTTGTGGACCTTAATCAAAATCAAACTCGTGCTAATAAATGACCAACTACTTGTCTGATTGATATAAATGGCTAACTAGATATTTGTATATTACTTATAAGTGGAGGAGGGGAGGGTCACATCAATCCAAGCCGTACATATAATAAGCCTAACTCAAGCATGGTATTATAACAACATTGGTTAACATAGGTGGTGGTGATAGTCACTTGTATTTTTTAATTAAATTATTTAAAATTTTAATTTTAGATATAAAATAAATTAATTGATATAAAAATATTTATTTTATATGCATTTACCATTTATAAGATTACTTATTGTTTATAATGATGAATATTTCAAACCATTGTCATGATTATCATAAAAAAATTGTTATCATTGTATTAGTTATTTTTAATTTCTTTTAATTTTGAATTTTTTCCTTCATTTTTATCACTATATATTATTGATCACAATTCATAAAATGCGTAAATAATGATCATGTATAAACACTAACTCTTAAGTCAACAAATATGAGAAGAGTGTATCGTGGAATTCTAAATGATACTTGATGGATGAAACATTCTTGTATAGTCTACATTTAAGCAAGAAAAGTAGTTGTGTTACATGTGACCTACCAAACAATAGAGATCGATAAAATAGAGATCGATAAATAAGGTCACACTACAAGAAATATTATATATATATATATATTGATATATAAAAAATATCATTATATATACAATATGAATAAATATAAATCTATTTGACATATATTTTCACAATTTTAATGTTAATTTTGAATGAAATTCAATATATATTATGTATTACTATAACCTATACATATATTATTTAACAACTATGAGAATATAATTATAGATAAAAGTAGCTTTTAATAACAAATATTGTACTATATGATGTGTATTGTTCCAAGATAATATATTTTTTTTATAATATTGATGAGCCAATCACAAAGATTTGATGATGGGAAGTAGTCTCAAGAAAGATCAAGAAGGACCACAATAAATAGTAACTTCAATATAAAACAATGTTAGGAAGTGTGATGATTTAGTGGTGATTAAGTAAGAGATAACAAAATATGTAAAATTTTAAAACTTAAGTAAAAATATATACAAACTTAAAAATTAGGTGACAAAAATTACAAAATCATAAAACATGAGTGATAAAAGTGCACATAATAAAACCTAAATAATATTTTATCTAATATAATATTATATTTATATTAATACTATTTATCTTCAATATACATCGTAAAATATACTTAAAAGTAGTTGTACTCTTCTTTAATTCTACTATTTAACAATATATAATAATGTTAAAATAAAGATAAATCTTGCCGAATATGTTATGAGATCTAAATCGGGTTGCGGTCAATTTGATAAAATTGACCTATCAAAATTTTGGTAACGAAGAGACGCGAAATAAACCTGTCCCAACCCCCAATTTTTATATATTAATTGTCCTATGTTTAGTTTTCTACTTTTCTTAAAACTTGTTTGCGATTAATTGACTGATAGTAATTATAAATTTATAATTATACTTTGAGAAAATAGGCTTTATTGTGCCACTGACACATGATTGCTTAAATTTCTAACCAGACAAGTATGAGAAATCTGAACATGTTTGTGTATTGATTATAACCAAGTTATCTTACAGTTATGTGTCATTAATGGCGTAAGAAAGCTAAAAGAAAGACATAAAATTATCATGAAGAGCTCAGGACTAAATTATGAGTTTATGACTATCTGATAGTGCGATTTTTCCTAGAAGCTATTACAAAATTCCCTTAATGGAAGAACACATGGCCCCAGGACACCATTTTTGAGGGTTTCATTCAAGTTGACCAGTGTCATATCCTGATGCATAATTAGTAATTTGGTCATAAACTTTCTCTATTAATTATGCGGTGAATTAATTGTTGAGGTCAATTCTTATGCAAAAAGGGTGCTCTCTTAAATTCCAAAGAGCAGTTCAAACACTAACACTGTACCACTTGTGTATAGACATATTTTCAAATGGTATGAAAGGTTAATACAAAACTTGTACCTAACAAATTGGCCTTCACAACTTAAGATGCTCTTACAAAACATTTACCCCACAATAGTTGGTCAAAGTGGAAGAGGTGCTTTCGTACATGGTATGCATGGAAGCAGTACAGGAATGCAGCTAATGTGACTGACAGAAATGATAATAAAGTCAACTTCCAGAAGTCCTGAATAGACAAACAGATAACAAGAAACAGATTTAACACAAATGCAATTTTGTTAAGCATCAAATTCAATGCTATAGCTATCTTTTGACAATAGATGAAGTTTCTTCATTAAGAATAAACTATAAAGGCACTTTTATGAAACTGTAGACCAAAATTAATAGTGTTGTGACTAATTTTTGCACTGTTGTTTGATGATTTGAAGTTTGTTTAGAAGGTAAGGACTAATGGAAAAGTGCTACTAGATGGTATAAATTTTTAACCAAAAGCACTAACGGAAATGAACTAGAAGATATATAGCTATATGGGTCGTTTTGGCCGTGCTATACATAGACATGCATTTTTACTTATGGGACATTGATCAATTATTAATTAATAATTCACTAAGGATTGAATATTTTAGGGGGCACTCAAAATGTGAAATTTGTGTTTTGGGTTTGACATGAATCATTGTAGTTTTAAAACTCACCCTTGGATCAGATATTATGATTCCCATAACATAGGCCAATAAATCCATCAAAGACTGAAGCGAACTTTGAACACCTCCAACAATCAAACGATCGGATTCGGAAACAAAATCCTATTTAAAAATTGAGAGAAAGAAAAATCAGGTCAAGATGATTAAAAAGAGAAGAATTTATGTGATCCATCAAAGATATTAAAAGCTTGACATCAAACAAATTTAATAATGGTTATTTCTTGCCTGCATTTGTTGAAGTACAGACAAATCAAACATCCACAATCCAAGCCGAGATATGGCTACACTTCCCATCAGAATAGATGATGATAGAAAGCCATTTTTGATCCATATTGCAGCTACACATGGAAGGAGACAAGTCCACTGCATCCACAACATACATAAACAAGGACAACAGAGATTATATGCTAGTTAGTATTATCAGAATACAAGGAAATTAAAGATTAGACTAGCACTCTCAACATGTCATTCGTACAAAACACTTTTTTACAGACCACAGGTATCCTTTTTCAGAGAAAATTTTGTTCGAGACGAATAATACTTCGACGAATGACAACTCTCTCTTTAAATGTTTAGTGCAGTTGCATACCCAAACTCAATTCCCATTCATATAGAACTTTAGTCTTTTGAGTCATTAGTAAGTTTATACCTGTGACCATATCGACCAAAGTCCAGTTCTAATAGTTGATATTTGAGAATGTAGTACAGGATATAAAACCGTTGCAACTATTCCAACCACAGCACTAATTCCTCTTGCTATTCCAATAACATATGCAGGTATGCCTTCCCATTCTAAGGTGGCTGTCATCAAAGTTCCAAAGCTGAGGCAAGGAATTGGAATTTCATCAATGACTCTTCATGCCCAACTGGCAGCAAAAGAAATACAAGACATGTTTCTTAACGTGTGTTTAGAACGAAATTTTTGAATGACTTTCTCCGGTGACTAGTATAATCGACAATATTGGTAACTTGGACCTTTTTTTTATCATAAATAAAATAGTAATTCACAAAACATGGATTCCCAGCAGCAACAAATGCTCATGTTGACGAATCTTAGAAGTCAGGAATACAATAAGAAGCATAAATATGATAGAAATATATATAAAAAAAAATTATTAAGGCATGATACCATTATAAAATAACATACAAAGTGAGTACAGAATTAAGTTCACATAAGGACTAAGCAATTTTTGAAATGTCTGAAGCATTTGACAAAGATACAACTACTGTTTTGAAATGTTAGTACTTTCTTGGTGGAGTCTAAATTTTAGAAAATAAAAAAATAAAAAAAAGTAGTTAGTCCTAGAGGGTCGGGTAACTAGCAAAGTTATCTGAGATACATCACATTGAATAGTAGTGAACAAACTTATTGTATCCCTCATAAATACATGTCTAACTTCTTGTGCCATGGCCTATCTTTTTTTAATTTTTTTTATGCATAAACAAATTTGATATTTTAAGCATTTAAGGAAAAGGGTAATTCAGATAGATTTTTTTTTATACAACATTTACTTGCTATAGTTGTTTGTAAGCTTTCACCTGAGTACAGTGAAAAATAGCAAAGCCAGAGCAAGTCCAGGAAGGGCAACTTCTTGCTGTAGATAAACTCTCCATGCAGCAACATAAGGAAGCTCTAAAATCTTTTCAGAAGTTTTTCTACTGCATTTACTATCTTCCAATTTTGAGCTATCATCAGTAACAGGAAGCAAGCTATCTTCCTCCAAAGTTTTATTGTTCATTTGCAGATCACATTGTGAAAGTCTTGCCATCCTCCTTTGGCTACTTTGGGCCAAAGCTGGAATCCCGTTATACACAGATGTGAAAAGCCAATACTCCACCCAAACAGACACTGTATTCCACACTGCTAAAGTTATAGCAGATGCTTTCAGTGATACAAAACTTATTATGAACCCAGTAACAACAGGAGCAAGAAGCTTGCATGTTAGGTCGATGCGTCTCGTTACTGAATTCATCTTTGTAAGCAATTCTGGAGGTTGGTCTTCAGATATAACTAACAACCTGTACAATAACAACTAAAGAACTTTTACATAATATTTCTTCTTTAACTTGTTATTTATCTATTTATAGAAACCAAGAAGCATGGTATAGTATTGAAGCTTCAGATATCCAATCAGCTCAACTCTTTGTTGCATTAACAATTTTTCAGCGGTGTTACATTTGAATTGATTCCCTCACTTATGTTTTCCTTATTAATTCAGGTTTGTTGGTTAAGGCCCATAACATATTTATAAGAATATGTTTGGATACAAGTTTAGAAGTATTTTTAAAGTTTCTTTACTAAAAATAACTCTTTATTTTTAACAGAAAAGTTCTAAAAAATGCTTTTAATTTGTATTTAAAGAGACTCTAATTATGTGAGTTTGATCTTATCCTTTCCCTTTCTAAGGCTTACTATTATTATTTTTTGTCTTATTATAGATATCTCTATTTCACTATCATAGAAAGTAATTTCACTTGTAGTATTATATATATCATCAACTTAAAAGGTTTTCACATATAGTGATGATTGAACATGATCAATTTTTCGTTAAATAGATCGTCTTTATAATATGTGTATGCAAGGTGTGTTTTCATTATGTCAACCAATTGGATCTTTCAGGCTATCTATGAATCTTTCCTTAGAGGAAAAACATAATAAAATTTCATTTGAATTGTAACCTTGGAAAATTGTGAATAGATAATGGTGAGATCTAAATCTTTAATCTTTATCATCATGAATATTTGAATCAACTTTCAAGCAATAGATTATTTATAAGCATACATGCTTAATCAAATATAATTATTTTCTCACTGGATATTACCATTCTCTTTCAATCAAGATTGTACCGGCAAGAGTTGAAAGCACACCAATGCCACCACATACATTGATTATCAACACCAGCAATATGAAAACAGAAAAATGAGTAAACTTCAAAGATGAGTGGACGAGTAAGGCAACTACAGAGGCCCCAGCAATAACAAAAGAAAGATTTTGTGTCAACAACCACAATTGCAAAACCTGCCAATAAAACAAGCAGATGGAGTTATTTCACTAAATGCACCTTGACAAACTTCATAAACTAAAAAACTAATTGTGTCAGAAATTGCAATATACTTTTTATCTTTGAATTTTGGTCATACCTTCACACAAGACAACTTATCAACCCATCTTCCAATTATGGGACCAAACACTGCAATGGAGGCAGATTCAACGGCACCATATATTGCTGCATAGAGCAACGACTCTTGCCAAATATTGATCATGTATAAACCAACAGAAAATTCCCACATTCTACAAACAAAAAACCTTAATGAATTTAATCAAAAAACAAAAACAAAGCATATAAATAATGTAACCCATTCACTGATACACCAACGATTTTGAATATCTCAAGCCAAGTAAATCATATCTAGTGTAGTCTACGTCTCATGTCACACTCACAAAAATGTATAAACCCGTTATCCTATTTTGTGACAATGAAATCAAAAGTTTAAACCAAAGTTGAAAAGTAAAAGAAGAACCTGGCACCCCATCTTGCTAAGAAGTGGCCAATGTACAAATAAGTGATTAGAAAAAAGGGTTTTTCTTGTTGTGCGGTGAACGGAGGCACTGTCAATTTCACGTTCTCTTCCATTTCAGATTCTTACTCTCGCTCCTTTTGACCATTACCATCACAAATGCTATCTTTATCAAGCTACATGCAAATTGCAATTTCTCTCGTCAATGCTACTGCAACATCAAAAGTCTTATCTATTAAATGAGGTTACATTAATCACATGACGTCATTAATTCAATTCGGGTTAAAATTAAATTAAGGTTTAAGCAAAACTTTAATTCCTAGAATATAAATAAAATTTGCATTCATTTTTAACTCTTTAAGAGAATGTTTTGATAAAAAAAAATACAATCGGATCCAATCCAAATATATTTGGATTTAGATTAGATTACTTTTTATTTTTCAAACATAGCTAATTAACTATAATATTTTGATGGACAAAATAAATTATTAATATCAATAATCAATAATAATTATTGATAATAATCATAAAAAATTTTAATATACAAACTTAAATAATCTATCAATAATATTTAGAGCATCTACAATGAGAGTTGCTAACTCTCATCCACTTTAAATGAATCCACAATGTCATGTCATTCATAAGTAACTTATATTATATTTTTATAATTTTTACTCCAATAAAAGTTGCTTATAAGCACCTCCACTTTTTAATCACTCATACTTCATTTTTAATAAATTTTAAAAATTTTAATTATTATAGTTTGTTGGCATAGGAAATATTAAATTATATTTTTATTCTTAAGTAACCGTCTCTTATATAAACAACAATACTTAAATTTTAGCAATTTGACATGTTATGTCAGCATGCTCTAATGCAAGTTTCTTATAAGTAATGAAAACTTAAACTTAAGAACCGAATAAGAGCCTAGCATTGGAAATACTCTTAGTAATATAATAACCACAAAATCAGTAACTTAAAAAAATAACAATCAACTGTTTCAATTTTCAAGTATTTCAATAGTTAATATATTTAATTTACCACACTATAGAATACCATTTCAAATTAAAAAGAATGTATTGCCTAATCAAATGATTTTTTGTCCCTTAGAAGGAAGATGGAGATTAACTTTAATGTTATTAGTAGAATAGTGAACACTTGATAGTAATTTAAGTTGGTAAATGATAAATATAGATAATAGACAATCATTTTAATTGATTAAAAGAATAAAAGACAAAAGTAATAAATATTATTTTAAACATAAATGATAATTTAATTTTAATAATAAGTTAAAAACAAACTATATATTTAATTATAATTGTAAAATAATTATTTTATTTAATTTTTATTATTTAAATTAATTTTCTATTCATTGGGAACAAATTTTCGGAGGATGAAGCATTTTTCTTGTAGTATACTGTAGGCGCGCCAACGTCTAAGTGACACGTAACATAGAAGAGCAATGTGAGTATTGAGTTATGCTTAGTTGCTAACAAGAAATGTAGGAATAATAAATGAACCATTAATCCTTCCATTATTTCTTGGATAAGCACAACTAATATAATATCAAGCAAATAAATAATAATGAATAATTTATTTTTATTTAGTACCATTAGTAATCCAAGATATCTCCATAAACTTCGATCTTTTGTACTGATTATAAAACTAATCCTTGGATGAAACTTAGGGATGGCAAAACGGGCTAGCCTGCCCCGTTTTGGCCCGCCTTGCCATTGGCTCGCTAAAAAGGGGCCGGGCTGGGCGGGCCCGCCAACATAAAACGGGCTGGAGATACTGGCCCGCCCTGCCTAAGGACGGGCTGGTGGGTTTGCGGGCCAACCCGCATACAAAAATAAAAATTAAAAAAAATAAAAAAAATATTTTATGTTCAAATAAAAAAAAATTGCTACAAATAAATAAATATAACCATATGAAATTAAAAATGCATACATATTGTACATAATATATGTTAAACAAAAACAAATTACAAACTTAGAACAAAATCAAATAGAAATTAGTCCATTTACATCAAAATCAAAACCAAATTATAAACTTACACAACTAAATTTTTTGATAGTTCACAAAACAAGTTTAAATACAATTAATTAACTTTAAATTTTTATTTTAAGAATATTAGAAGCTCTCTTAGAAGAAGATGTCTCTACTTTTTTTTCTTGATCATCTTCATCCTCATCTTCTACATCAAAATAAAATAAACATAAAAATAATTAAATTTAAAAAAAATATATATGCGGGCCGGCGGGTTGTGGCAAGGCAGCCCGCTATTTGACCTGGCAGGTTGGCGGGCTTGGCGGGGCGGGCTTGCACTGGTTGGCAGGTTAAAATGATGGGCCCAACTCGCGCAATTTTTGGCGGGCCAACAGGCTGACCCGCAGGCCACAGCCCACTTTGCCATCCCTAATGAAACTTAGTCATACATACTTAAAAGTTCATCGTCCCTTCTCAATGAATAAATATTGAATGTTAAAATCCATAATCTTTCTATAAATGAATTAAATAACTAGTTAGACATATTTATGTTTGGCACTTTCGGAATTATTAATGAGTTTTTAAATATTTATCAAAGTCTAAAATTATTATTCATGAAATAAAATGGAGGAATTTATTTATTCATTTTTTTATATATAAGAATGGTTAAGTTTTTAATAAGAAAATATTAAATAATAATTTTGAGCTCAATAGAAGTGGCCTCATGCTCCTACTTATTTTTAAAAACAATGGAAATCTCATAATTACGTAATTTTGGTCATGATTTTATTTGATGATTACGTTATTAACTTTAAATATTTTTATGTTATGTGATGGGAGCCCAAAACAGCAAATAGAGGCTGAAGAGAATACAAGCCCCCCAGTCGATGCTAAGGGGCAAGAGTGACCTGGGCCCTCCTTCTAGCGCCAATGTTCCTACCGTAAGTCCGCTGTCATCGTTAGGATCACCGCATCCGAGGTATTGTCTGCTTTGGCGCTTGTTGGACCGTCACGATTTTGTCCTTGAAAAGGCGCCTTGGTGGGTTAAGGAGGAAGGGTGTTTATAAACTATCCTTAAGATCGACTCCTAAGCGATGTGAGACTTTTAGGCATACCGGAACAAGTGTAATTAAATTTTAAATTGAATCATTAGTTATTCTAAAGTCATCATAACTTTAATATATAAGTTGTCAAAAGCTTTTTTTTTTTTTTTTT